ACGAGCGAAGTGCGGAACTTTGAATTAGAGAAATATTTGCAGGTTGTGGATGTATTGCCTAAGGCTGAATATTCGCAAAGGATTCCTCTGATACCACGATTGGATAGGACGGTAAGGGGACTTATTTACTACTGTATTGGTACGGACTGTCAGTAAGTCATTCAGAACTCTATAATTGAGTGTTGGTTTCAGGCTGGAGAAAATCTTTCGAAACGGGTAGAGGCGACGAGAATGCCACGCAACAAACTGTTGGCCAACTCCAATCCAAGTGGTAAGTTCATTTATCCATGTTGGATGGTGTAGTTTCTCTGAGAATTGATGATTCAAGAGATTTTCAGGCAGGGGAGCATTTCTCTTCCCATCGATGTGTCGACCCATCTAGACGGCCGTACTCAGCTGAGTCGACACTGTTTTAGCATGGTGGCCTTGAACGCGACGGGTTGTTCCAGCTTGATAAGAGTTCGCTAAGCTTCAGGCCCGAGTGAGGACTTGTCAAACCTGAAGTAGTTGAAGCAGTGAAAGTACAAAATACCCCCCCCGTCGCCGAACTGCGTCAGATTTTCTCGTTTTTATAAGGCTGCTGAGGTTTCCTCAAGGAGTTGTTCTACCTCCACAAACGACTGGTCGAGTCACAAGCAGATCGCGAGCCTAACACTGTCTTCTGGGTTTATGATGGATAGTTAGATAACCCCTAAAAAAGTAGCGCGCGCAGCCCACTTTCTTTTTCTGATTCTTTCGAAAGGGTCCACCCTCCTGACTTCTTTTCTCGAACAGATTTACATCCCCCCCCCGCTTTGAAACCTTAAAAGCACTTCTTGGACGAAAGTGATAGTAAGCATTAAATGGCGGCATGTCCGTGATAGTCATCAACGTTATGGTAGTGCAAAATTGAGATCTTCGCTTTGGCTCAGACTAAGCGAGCCGCGTCCTCTCTGGGCGCTGGCTACTTTGTACCAGTCTCATTTGGGAGGTTAAGAACCATAACGTGTACAGAAAGTGGTCCGAAGAACTTCTCTGGGCCGGAGTTCGAGAAACCATCATGATTTTGAATAGAAATCGATTTCGTGGCGCGCAAAAAAATCCCCTGGAAGAGACTGATCAGCGCCAAAGGCTGTATCGTTTTACTTCGTCATTGGGTGCAATACTTCAGAATGCCCACGGAAATGCTGTCTGCAGAGACTGTGGGAAAAAGTTGCGGGGAAAATGACGTTGGTGTGGATTCAAGTGTGGTCTTGTTCGCTCCGGATGCTGGGGCGTGTCAAGGGGGAACGGATCTGGCGCGGCGCCAGCCCGTCGGTCCCGTTTCCCTTTCCCCCCCCCCCCCTGAAACGCCCCAGCATCTGGACCAACTGTCGCTTGCCAGCTTCCATAACACATGAAGAAGGGGGAGGGGCATCAAGAGAATCGTAAGTTCGCCGCGCCAGTGGGCGTCGCGTGCGACGTCGCGCCCGCTAATGACGACGATTTCAGGTGGTATTGGTCGAGAATAGACAATGTGTGACCAGAATAGACATAAGGTCTACCATGCCCTTGCCTTAGTGGATTTTGAGGCTGCAATCGAAAGCGCAGTGAAATTTAAGGAAACGTCGAGTCCATTGTCATGCGCGACGAAGCGGTGATTTACGATACTTTTGCCCGTTTCCCGAAGAAGGGTTGGCATCGCCCTAGACCCAGCCCCCTTATCGCGCTTCAGCATTCGCAGTGAACAAGACTGTGGAACTATAGTTCCTTCCGCCTCAATTATCTTCCACTGGGACCATTTTTTTCCGAGTGAGCCTGAATGGAATTCAATTTTCAGGCATGAAGAGCACTCCGTCGTTGAGCTCGTTCGTCGACAAAATCTCGTCGAGCTGGTTTGGAAGTAACTAGCTGGCCGAGAGGACAACACAAAAGAAACAACTTCTTGTGAAGACTATTTATTTATTCTGAATCGATACCAGTCGATTTTGGGTGGAATATGTGATGATGATTTTTGGGTCTTTCGTTGTTTCTTACAATTATCATAATTACTATATGATCGTTACACAGAAGTGATAATGACATACACAGGGCGGAATCAATTAAAAAAGATGTTTCGACGCAGTTCGGCTTGGAGGGGGCACTGAATGGCGATCAGCTGAGCTTGTACAGGCCACCTTGTGAAGAGGTGTAAATTCCTGTGACCAAAGCTTCTCACTCGAACCATATCGCAACTTAACAGGATTTACAGGCCTCTCCAAAGCGAGACCTGTTATCATTTGGTACCTAACAAAAGGAGCAAAAATGCAAAATGCCCCCTCCAAGCCGAATAGCGCCGATACTTCTCTGGATCACTATGACTATCAAATGGAGAGTTCTTATTCTACGACAAATGATATTCAATTATTGCATCATGTACATATAAACGATATAGTAATATCTCTGTGTAATAAATGGTATACGATTGAACTGGGCAACTGTGAAGACCCGTGTGCTTCGGGTCTATATACTACGCTATTAAAACTGACGCTATGAGACTATAGAAGTCGTATCACTGAAATCAGTCGGGGCGTGTCAGCGGAGAGCGTAGGTTTGATAAAGCAAGGTAACCGTAATTTGTCGTCTCGCCGCGCTATGTGGGAGCGATGGTAGCGCGTGTTCTTACATCAGGTGGAGCAGCCGCGAGGCTCCAATGCATTCGAGGAGGCAAGAGCTCTCGTATCGGTAGTATGTAGTTTCCCAAAAGTGCTTTTGACCCTATATAGAACGTAACTGTGGGAAGATAGTCGTCGCGCGCGTCGCGCTCGACCACGCCATCCAGCGCATACTTTGATGATTTATGATTTATTATCGGCATTCTATTGCCAGTGGCACACATAAAAAGGCAAACGCAGAAAATATGATATTGCGATTGTGCTTGTCACATACCCGGTTTGTCGTGGAGCCAGCCCGTCTTCCATCGATTGTTGCGGCTTCGGTCGTCTGATGGGTGATGGGGGGATGCGGCAAGTCAGTCGTGAAATGCCGCGTGAGGCGTGGCGAGCGCGACGCCGCACATGCGATGGACGAGTTATCCTGCGGCCACTTGAACATTCAAGGGAAAGAACGATATGCGGATCTTGAAGTAGCCTCTTGTACCCTTGCCTCTGCTCGTACGCATTTATGTTTCACTGCTCCAGTCGATAAACTCATGAACATTGAGAAGTTGCCGCGCACCGCCGGAAGGTGCGCCGCGCGCGACGACGTGGCAAGATTGTCTTGACCATCTCCCCGCATTGCGCCAAATCCCCGTGCCGCTGAAGCGCCCTGACTGACTTCAGTGATAACCAGAGTACACACCTAGTGATGAGGTCCAGTTCATACCTTGTACCGGTGGAGAATCGAAAATTGAGCGAATGGAAAGTATATGTATCGATCGTGCAGTCCTGGCACAACTGATAAGGTTCTTGAGATCGATATGCATTTTTTCAACGGCTCTTCGATTCTCCATGGGTAAAAAAATATGAACGCGGCCTAAGAAGACTTGTACAACCATGAAATGAAATGCAAACAATGGAACTTTTCTTTTAAAAGTTGAGAGAAGATAGCCCCTCGAGTCCATGGTGAAACCTGGGACGGAGTTTCGATTCGGTGAAGACCAGATATCCTCTGGTTGGGTTGTCCGTTCGCCTAGTGCGATGATGAATGTGAAAAGTAGGAGATTGTAGGTAGATTAGCAGAGGTTCATTGGACATTTGAGTCGATCGGTTTCGAGGGCAACGGAAAAGAGGCAGAACGCGATATAGGAGACGATCATGATCACACCGAACGCTTTGTTCATCCTCCAACGTGAAACGAATGTGGAGAACACCAGCACAACCAGCATGATGAATAGCATTCCAACGGAACACAACAGACCCTTGCTGAAATGAGAGATTTTAGAGAATACCTAAGGGGACATTTAAAGGTCTCGTAGGGTTAAAATGGGATCGCGGCACGCAGTAGGTTCGGCATCTCCAGCGAGGAGTATCGTATTTGGTTGCAGGAAGGAGGGGGTTATATTTGCCTTTAAAGCGTTTTGATCGGTTGTTGACCTTTCTCGGTTTTTCCTGTTTCAAGGGCGTTACCCGTTACCGTTCGACAAAAAAAAACTGGAAAGTCCGATCTGGAAAAGTAATGGGAAGTCGGAAAATTCGGGAATATGGTAGGATGGGTACCAGAAAAGGAAATTTTATAAGGGGGAGGTATATTTTCCAAAAATTTTTCCCAACGACAAGACGTGCACTGACTGGGTTGAAATTGGTTCACCCTTCGAGGAGCTCTTTCCCTCTTTAGATTTCGGCAAAAGTACTGAGTTCCATTATCCTAGTTGTAGTATTATGGGTCCTGTAGGTACCCCCCCCCTGATGTTATCAACTACTACAGCCAATTTTTACACTCATCGAGGATTAAATATGCGAAGGCAGAATAGTAAAGTGTGGCGTCGCTATAACACCAGTGATCCGGGGATCGATTCTCACTGAAGCTAGTTAACCCTTCAATCTCCTTGGGACGGTTGACTAATGTCACGCTTGTCCAAAAAGGATTTGTCACGTCTGCTGAGAGATCAGGGGGTGGAGATGGAGCAGTTACGAGTGGCAATGTTACCACACTCTTGATCCAAGGATCAATCCTCGCCCAGGCCAACGACTCCCTCTGACCAAGGCCGAATTTGAGGAGAAATTCCACGATAATTGGCAGAACGACGTTTTGCAACTATTGCCTCCGTAGGTGCCACCCTTCGCGATACTGCAAAGGAGAAGCGCACCAGTGACGAAAGCGCATTAGTTGTAAACCACCTCCCATTCGATTATCGTGGAATGTGTTTTGAAGTAAAAAATTCGTCTGGGAGAGATTGCATTAGTGTGTTTATCAGCTGGCCCTCATAAGCTGTTGTATAGATCCTGCGTTCATATGGTACTGCGATTCCGAAATGAAGTCGGATGCGTGGCGTACCCCAAAATGAACCAACCTGCAAGTTGGTAGGCTTCATTGCGTTTTATTGGGAAAAAAGAACTGCAAAGAGCATCTGCTTCATGGATATTGCTAGAAGATCAAGCAGTTGTAGATAGGAAACCTCAAGTGCTATGGGAGGCCCTTTTGAACCCCTTCCCATTTTGAAGAGCCCTATCTGCCCCAGCAGCAAACATGCCGTGTAGGCCTCCCCTTAGAATACCTTTTTTGCAGCCGATGAACTTTTGGAAGAAAGTAGGGCTGTTTCCCTGAGAACAATGCTCTCGAAAGTTCATCGAAAGCAGTGGTGCTTTACTTTTTTTCGAGGCCAAAAAGCCGAAAACTTCCCGGAAATTCGCCGTGCACTTTCTCGCACTTTGTTTTTTGACTAATTATTTCCGGCGTTTAACATTCTTTAGATAATGCGTAACGCCATTTATATGGATGTAGTTGAACTTTATGGCCCACTAAAAAGGACTTGAAGTTCTTGAAGAAGGGTTCAAAAAGTTGTGAGAGTTATGATTACTATTGGATCGTTGACATGAGTTTTATAGTTCCAAGGCAGTACTTTGAGGTGCCCCTTAGGGTGGAAAGCGCGTTTGGAAAGCAAATCCCAATCAAAGGGTGTACGGGGGGACATAAGCCGCCTGCCATTCCTCCCCCCCCCCTCAGAACGTTAGTTCCAGAGGTCTGTGAAAGGATAGAAATTCCGTCTCCGAGGCGCAATTTATGCCGATCGCAAACAGTGCAAAACATAGCAGACCGATAATAATGGCCCATTTCACGCTGGTCGTGTGGGCGGAGTCGCGTCTACCATCGTGCTCCTCACTTATGGCGCGTCTCTCCTCTGAAACGGTCAAAAGGAGGGGCGGCGTGTTTATGAGGAATACGGAAATATGGCCCTAACTTCGCTCACTCAACAAGCGTGGACTTCCCCTGCGACATGTAGCGCGCTTCGATGTCCATGCTGATTCAGTGGGCGGAGTCAACACCACCTTTGCATTTTCCTCATGAGTGCGCCCCTCCTCAGGAAGAAGGCAGAGAGTTACAAGTCACTTTCTTTCCGAATGGGCCTTACTGCCGTGAATCGAGGGTAGAAAGTTTCAAGCCTTTCAAGGTAATAACTGGGCTCACCTGCTGACAGAGATGGACTGTGCTGGATTATCCGGGTGCCTGATAAACTCGATAATAAAATATAGCAACCATGGGATTGGCAGGCTGAAAAAGCCATTTTGAGTAAGATCTTATTAGGTTGATTACTGAAAAAGTACAAGTCACTTACCCCACGCACACGTCGAAAATATTGCTACCGACTGAACTCGACACTGCCATATCTCCAAGTCCTTTTCGTGCGACAATCACACTAAAAATAAAAAATATCCTTGCACAGTTAATTTGTGCAGGTGCCCCCCCCCTTTAAGCTGAAAGTATGTATCTCTATGATTATTCGATTTTTTTTGTAGATTTAAATATGACTTAAGAGCTCGGAGGAGGGAGAATGACCTCGTTCAGTTTCCGTCTAAGGGCACGTGCGAAACGGAAACTGAGCTACTTCTTTGAATTCTCTCCTGAATAAATTCAATTAAATAATAAAATAGTCAGCCTTCAGAGGACTTCAAAATTTGGACTTCGAAACAAAAGGCAATGAATTACTTAGAAATCAGGTTTTTATTTTATTGAAGTGATTTCTCTACGTTCATGTGTATTTTCCATGTTTTTTCCTGTACAACTCATACTAAAACGTATGTTTTTGTTTATTTATTTGTTTGTTTGTAAGAGCTGCGCTTTTGTTTGCTTCCGACAATCGTCTTGAAGGGCCTAGTTAAATAATAAGGTAATAAAAGTAAATAAATAAATAGGTCAGATAGTACTTTATCTGCGAACGATTCTGGTAAAAAAATACCTTGTGATCAGATCTGGGATACTTGTTCCGGCTGCTAGAATGGTTAGCCCGATCACCTGAAAATCGATATTAGCTATTCCATATGATGATTACTGGTTGAAATTGTTAAAAGTGCGTGGTTTTGGTAACCCTTTCGGCTTGGAGGGAGGTGGGGGCATTCTGCACTTTCACTTCTCCTCAGATCTACTTGATGGCTCGACACGACAATGAAAAGTAGAGAAAGCATAAAATGCCCTTCTGAGTCAACCGCCACCCTTTTTTGAAGGGTGAAGTGTCTTGGGAACATTCAGATGCGAGTTTAAAGGACATTCTGTTCAGTCATTTGAGATGGAGATGGCGCAACAGCTAGAGGCAGTCCAGGCGCTACAAATCCTGCAAGGGAGCCTGGAGCGCTAATTAGTAGGTTACCTCAGGTATCATCTAGGCCAAATCACCCATTTGCAGGGGAACTCAAATGCGTGACTGCTAAGCGAAAGAAAGGCGAAAAAAATGGGGATATCTGGGGCTTTTTTCAAGGGGAATTGGGTGCGGTGGCAAAAAGCACATCATAACCTCATTAGAGCACCCCTCCCCCTCCTGTTTATCCAGTAAGGAAAATGACAGCACTGAAGACGGAGCACGTCGTACAATAGGGAAGCAGCAGAGAGCTGGGTGGTGAGCTAGAAATTGCTGATTTTCCCCGTTTCACGCGCTCTATATATCTCCAAACCGCTTATTCAGCGGTTCGGCAATGCCACTACTTTTGGTACTTGATCAGAAGTGTCTATCCCCTCTCTCCTATCGACGTCAGAATTTGATCAAACTTGGTTAGGTGCCTTGGAGAGATTTCGACGGCGTGAGGCCAGGCCTTTCCTCCGCCCCTTTGTGAGCGTGGGCTGCACTTTAAGTATTGAACTGTCGTCAGTTGAACGCTTTACGGTACAGTTCGGGTACGTGCCGTATTCCTTACCAAGTGGGACAATGCTTGAGGGCCGGCCCCTCAATGTCTCATAAATTCTCAAAGAGTATGATTAGAAATCCGATTCAAAAGACGCATAAAATCTGGAAAACGGAAAGGATAGTTCAAGTGGTGCCTAGCGGCTCTCAAACAGCTCCAGCTATGAAAAAGCTCTTTGAAAGGCTCGTTGTGGATTCACAAAGAGTCCGTCTGCTACGAATTTTTCTCTGTCGAAGAATGAGATCTCGACAAACCTCCGTAGGAATGACGAGCGTCTCACCGATCGTATTCGCCCACCAAACCATCAGATACGAGTAGAATGCAATCCATAGTATCGAGTTCACAAACGTCACTGGATACCATTTACGGCTGGTCTGGAATAAGTGATTCGCTTTTGAGGGACTTTCTGCAAAATATGCTATTAATTATTAAAAACTAGGCGCTCTTCGGCGTCGGGAGGCCTTCAGCACTTTCGCTAATTCAGCTATATCCTGCCAAGTTCCTGTTTTGTCAACAGAGAGGAGGAAACTGTCAGAGCTTAAAAGTTTCGCGGCGTAGCCACCGGAGAAAAGAATAGACGGGGTGGGGGGGGGGAGGGTTATAGCACGCGAGCTTCAGGATTTTTTTTCGTATTCTAAACGCGATCCCCTTTCTAACGGCCAAATGCGACTCCGTTGTGTTTCAGCCACTGGAGAGCCCTGTCCCATCACTGTCACCTCACAGCGTCTGGATAAAGGACCAAGACCGGGTGGGAATAGGGATTTCTCGGGGCATTTCGCTACGCGGGGAGGGGCATTTTGCTTCCCATCGATTAACCCATCATTTTCTTGATTTGACCCGTTTTTCCATGGTGGCTAGACGAGCTTGCTCCAGCTTCACAAGAGTTCACAAGTTTCACCAGAGTGGGACTTGTAAACCGGAAGTAGTGAAGCAGTGAAACTGCAAAATGCCACCCCCCCCCCCCCGTTGCCGAATTGCGCCGATCTCTCAGTTGTTTTGTGGCGAAAGGAACCGTTCAAAATTTGGCCTCGATAAATCAATCCGTGGGTCACATGGAATTCCCCAAATCCGTTTCCTTTCTTTGCTCTGGCGTGCTGCCTATCCACTTCCTTATTGCTTCACCTTTATCTCCTACTTTTTTCTCGTGCTTACTTATTTCTTCAATTTGTGAGACTTTTTTGTGAATTATGAAGTGCTCTTCCATAATATTTGGACAACGCTCTCCCACCATGTCAAGCTATAGTTCAGATATACGGGGCAGTTTCTAGGATTGTGAATTTTAAGCAGCCTTTATTCCTGGCGCTTTTTGAAACTAAGATTTCCGGCATTTAAGTGGCTGTAATCGCACTCAGAGCCGTTTCTGGTCAGTAAAAATGAGCTGGTGAAAACGCAATTCTTAAGGCTCGAATGCTCAGTCAGTTGAGGTTTTCCCTGTCTATTGTCTGTCTAGGAAATAAGGTTGCCATTGTGTTGGAGATAAGCTTAGAGATCGTCGAGCAAGTGACGTAACAGTTACATGGGCTTCACATGTAAGGTCTGCAAAACAAAATCCCAGACACAGGATGTCAACAGGATGCAGTTCATTGAATTCTCGACAGTCCTCTGTCGGCTCGAGAGGATAAAGAAGCGGTTTCAATGTCACCTGCCCTGCACGGGACAATAAAATATGAATTATGAGCTAGTCAAGTTTTAAATGGAAGCGAAATTCACGGCGCAATATGTACTGCTGGGACCGATGGATAACTTTGGACTTCTATGAACTCACCTACAATCTGAATCTATCATTTCCATAAACTTCCCGCAAACTCCTGGAAGTTCCATTTTCTGTGAAGGTCAGCATGGGTAAAGAGAGTCTGGTTTTCGTCCCTTCGCAGTCGAGAACACACCATCGCGCTTTGCAAGAAGTTGGCTATATACGGCCCCTCCTATAAATTCCCCCTCCCCTCTATACGACTCATTTTATAATCTACCTTCACTCTCACCAGCCTCCCAAAAATTCGCTGTCGGGGAAGGTGGGGGGAGGGGTGAGGAGGAGGGGGTTAAGGTAGCAGCTGCAATTAATCACAAGAAATAGCAGTCTCACTTCCTGCTTAGACCACGGTGAGACCAGAAAAATCAGTAGTCAGAACAGTTTTCGACGTCAAACGCGATCCCTACCCTTCCTCCTAATAGGAAGATTACACCCCTTCTGCCATACCCTCCCCTACACAGCGGATGCAGTAACCTGGGCGAGCACCAGAATCGTCAGGGGGATAATGGATAAATGAGCTATGGATAATAGAAATGTTGGGCTGTACAACAATTCACCCTCGCAGGACATTAAGATTGTATTTACAGTTTCAAAGGTTCCGAATGGAAGTTATATGCATGGCCCGCCTAACCAGGAAGGTCGTTCAGGGCGTGCCCCGCGCACTTTGTGCACTTTGTAGGACCTTGCCCATGAACCGAAAAAGTGGGCTTCGTTTTTGCTGTGCGGCCCCGGGAATCCCAAAAAAGGAGCGAAAAAGGAACCTATGGAAACTGATTGTTTTTGAGCCTCTACGAGCTGTAAGCCGCTCGAAACTTTGCCCACAGCTGAATGGAGGGACC